TACGTTACTCTCATTGAGTAACGTAACGGAATACGTTACAGAATACATTTTGGGGCATGTATTCTGTATTCTGTAATGGAATACATTTAAAAAGTAACCTTCCCAACACTGTTTATCAGTATATGCTACAGAATATGTGACCAGTATGTGTCAAGTTTGTGTCTCTGTCTTACTCTCACTCCCTATCCCTCGCTCTCTCTCTCTCTCTGCTCTTTGCTGTCAACTTTATTTTCTCATCATAGTGGTCATGTTCAATGCACTCACAATCTTGAGACTCCAATACATGGATGTTTTAGAGATTACATCATAGATGCTGGGTTGTTTTTCCATAGTTGTTGATCGCTCTGGTTAATTTCAGAATGTTTTTTATTTACTTTTGTATATACTGATCAAAAAGACCAAAGTAAGAAAAAGTGAACAACTTCAGTCTGACATTTAAAATTATACATTGACTCATCTTGCAATCAGGCCATCAGTTCTTTTGCACAAGCAGCTCTGACATATATTTTCCTTGGTTTGAATACTTGCTCACAGTCACTGAAGCTACAGTGGCTAGAGGTGAGAATCAGTTTCACTATGAATCTTTACATGAGTCTGCAACATGGTCTGCAATGCACTTTATAAACAATATAAAACAGCCCACAGAGACGTTGCTGTGGTTTTACTGTAGAAATATGTACACATAGAAATGGAACCCACAGTAATACACTACATTACTACATTACCAAAGGTTTATGAGTAGATGATCCTTTTATCAAAATACAAAAGTTTAAAACAGGAGGTGCTGAGTGATTATTCAAGGACTGGCCCTAGGAACGTTTGACAGGTGGACAGAAACATGAATGCATGACCGCTGGGATCCTGCTGAGTAACATGTTGGCAAAAGACCTCAGAATTATATAATCGGCCAACCTAAAAAGTTTTTTAACATGGTAAATGGCTTTGCATGTACCAAGATATCTATCATGGTGTGCCAGTTCTACTCATAACTCTCATCTATAGCCAGTATGACAACTTGGTGCGTGGGAAGGCCCATTAGTGTGTGTCTTGTGTAAATTTCTCATTAGATGTCTGATCAGGATGAAGAAATCCAGGCATACATAAATATTGTGACAATACATAAATGTTGGCACCTCAAAGGAAGTTTACACTGAACTGGAATTGACAGTAATTAATAATAAAAAGTTAGAATCAATGTTAGAATGACAGTTTAAACACAACAATATGTTATTCATATTATTCTGATTACATTTGTGTTTTACAATTTGCTGTTTTCTGTAAATGTAGATATGAAATATCTAAATATATAAAAAGTAGATATGAGAAAACTTCAGTTACACTTCCTGTAAACCACACTCTGTGACATGGGGTTACTGAGAGAAGCTTGTGGACAAAGCCACAAACACCTATGTGCTGTTTCTCATGGGCTCATAAGCTCTCAGGTGTGAAATACAGTTTAAAGTGTTTTTCTTTTCTTTTTTTTTCTTTTTTTTGGGGGGGGGAGGGGACAAGGGGGGAGGTCTGTATCAAGAAAATCCTATGGCCTTGTTTAAAAAATTAAAATTTTTATATTTACTGTATACTTAAAGTAAAATCATTTCTAGCTGACGTTCCTAAAATGTAAATGGACCCAAGAGCAGACCACAGCAACCTCCTAGATGAAGAACTACTCAGCAACACAAACGCAGACAAGCAATGGGTCTCTGGTATGAAGAGCTGGACCAGGACCTGGCATAGCTCACACCTACTGGCTGAAGATGCTAGCAGCCCACCATGAACACCTGACAGCACATATCAGGGTTTTGCTAGCAACAGGTACTAATTTAGAGTGGGTAACACAGGACAAAATAATTATGATTATTAAGGATACTCACAAGGCTACAAAATTATCAAACTGCTGACCGATTGCCTGCCTCCACAAAATGAAAGTTCCTCTCAAGTATCAAAGAAAACTATGCACGTAGGCACATGAGTCAACACATGACTACAGATTTGAAGGGTATTGGAAAAAACACCAGAGGGCCAAAGCACCAGCTTCTCATTTCACCAGGTTGATAAAGTACAACAGGACTCCAAGACCAGGCAGATCAACCTAAGCACCGCCTGGATTGACTAGAAGAAACCTTATGACTCGATGCCCCAGACATGTAGTTGACTGCTTGGCATTGCACAAGGATAACAGTGCACTAATAATGTTACGTCCAAGGCAATCCTAAAGCAGATTATTGCAAAGAGCACACATTTAGGAGTGGAGTGGCCATCAACCACTTCCTTGGGTCTGTGTGGCTTCTCTGGGTACTCAGGCTTCTTCCCTCCAACCAAAGACATGCACAGCATTAGGTTAATTAGTGATTTTAAACTGACCATAGGTGTGTATGGTTGTCTGTCTCTATGTGTTTGCCCTGCGCCCTTTTTCTAGTTGCTAGACAGTTCAAAAACCCCTGTGACAAGAAGATCGAGCAAACTGTTCACCCCTACCGGGACCCCACCCTGGAACCAGGCCTAGGGTGCCTAGGCCTTAGTCCATGTGGCCAGGCAAGGCACAGCCAGAAAAACATGGGCCCACCCTCCTGTAGG